ATTATTCATGTTACAGCAGCGTTCTTCACAAATGTTGAGCTTAACGTTTGACAGATGCTCTGTATTGGAATGCACACAGGCCCTTTATATGGGTGTCTAATTTTACTTTTATGTATCAAGAGAATGCAGTTAGTTGTCTCCTATTTTACGTGACGATTTACACAGATACACAAGCACTCGCAAGCGGTTACTCACACATAATCGGAACATCTGCACATTTTTTTTTAAATGAAGGGGGTGCATTGGGGCTTGCTATACCATGAAAATCGCAATCTCTGGTGTCGTTCTGATTTTCAGCTTTGGCAAAAATCCGGGCTCCGAGTGACCCGGCCTGCAAAGTGGGAAATGGTCCAAAGGTTCAATCATCTGCCCCTGTCTCTTCATGCTCATTTTTAGAACGCTATACGTGTATGGAAAATGCTTTTGCAACCTGCTCACATGAACCGATATTGAAATTCAGTCACATTACAAACAAAATACCTACATACATGATAAGCATCCTTCCCATATTTGTTTGCCATGTTAAAAAATAAAGGTATTTTATTAAACATTTCATCACCCACACAGCCTTAATGGAGTGCATGTCAGCATCATTGGTTTATACAAGCAAGGGGCCGTCCATAAATGACGTCACGCGATTATGGACGATTCCCCCCCCCCTCTCCTCGTCACACGGCGTCACATAAAGTCAGACCCCCCCCTCAAATATGATGTCACAAAGCTCTGCCCCCCCCCCCCCAAATAAAACATGCTTCAAATCGCTTTAATCTGTTGTCATTGTAGTGCGTATTTAATGTGGCGCTGCACTGTCGGAGAAAACATTTATTAAAAAGTCAATTTAATTAAGTAGAACTTGTTGTCTATATTTAAAGTTGCGCATTTTGATGTGACGTTGCATTTCTCAACCCCCCCCCCCCCCCCCTAGGTGCGTGACGTCATTTATGGACGGCCCCTAAGGAGAAATGTATATTTATATTGTCTTTAATGGCGAGCACTGACCGTGCATCTGCGCGGCATACACGGCCAGGGTGGAGAATGGATGGAGGGGGGGCATGACGTCAGCACGCATAGGTCCCACTCAACGCTGTGGGATGCAGGCAGTCAGCCAGGCAGCCCAAGCCAGCAAACCTTTGTTTTGCTGTTCATGTATGAAATCAGTCGTGGAATTTTGACCAAGACGGGAAAATTCCGTTAAGAAATTGTAGACATTTCACTGGGGAACGCATATCATTGTTTCATTTAATATGGACACAAACCATACTTCTCAATATAAATAACGTTGGCTGTACACCTATAAGTAACAAGTCATTAAGATGAAACTGCCTGCCTTGGAATATGATCATGTAATGTTACGAGGCAGGGTGAGAGACCCTAGGGGGGGAATGATACATTTTCAATAACTAGTCAAAAAACAGACCTAACCTGAGAAACGTGGGACTCAGCTCATTGGGGCACCACGGTGGCGAGATGTTAACTACCTCGCCTGGTATGCAGGAGGTCGTGGGTTCGATCCTGACGCCTGTATATTTGAAGTGTGCATCTTCTCCCTGTGGTCGTGTGGATTTTTTTCCGTGTCCTCCAGGTTGTCCCTCCGCATTTAGAAACAAGCGTTTATAAAGTATTTGGCTGCTATAAATGTCCACGTGATAAGCCACTTCTCGTTTAGCTATCATTTGTGGCCAGGTCGCTTCTGAATAAGTATAACCCGTAAAAACAAAGTTTTTCACTATAAATCCTTTATATGCATGGCGGCTAGAGTCCTCTCGTCCTCTGGCTTGAGATGGCTGCCACCTATGGGTCAGATGATTGCATTGCACCATTAAGCAATTGGTAATTAAATATATTTTTGTCCTAAAAAGTGTAAAATTTTGGAAAAAAAATTTTCACGAACATTGTCACGCACGAGTCTGTGTGGAAAATGTCAGCTCGATTGGATCACGGAAAATGGGTTAAAAAACGACCGAAAGATTTGCACGGTCCTAAGCAAGCAAGCGAACTTAATATAAAGGATTTAAAAATAGGTATATAGTTTAGTGGGCCTTATGGTAAAACAAAGTTTGGTTTTCAAGTGCGTAAATTACTGTGACTTTAGTGCCCTCTGCTGGTTCATAATATGAGCTGCAGTGGAGAGAAAATAAGCTTTAGGCAACGAGTCAGCGTTCAAAGCATTGCTCGCTCAACTTCAGTCCAATACCGGGTTTTTTTAAATCCTTTATATTAAGTTCGCTTGCTTGCTTGCGTGCTTGCTTGCTTACGACCGTGCAAATCTTTCGGTCGTTTTTTAACCCACTTCCCGTGATCCAATCGAGCTGACATTTTCCACACAGACTCGTTGTGCGTGACAATTAATTTTCGTGAAAATTTTTTTTCCAAAATTTTACACTGTTTAGGGGAAAAAATTAAATATTTTATTACCAATTGCTTAATGCTGGCAGACAATCATCTGACCCATAGGTGGCAGCCATCTCAAGCCAGAGGACGAGAGGACTCTAGCCGCCACGCATATAAAGGATTTAAAGTGAAAAACTTTGTTTTTACGGGTTAATTTTTTAATGCGTTGCTTACAATTTGTTTCGTGAATTGATAGAGCAGATAGAATATTTTACGTGCGTTCAAAACACTATCAAACTCTTCTGTCTTATGGGAATATACACACATATATAGAGGTAGATTTGAATGTAGACATCCAGTGAAGAACATCATCACATGCAGAGTTAACTGTTGTTTGTGAAGTGAATACAAGGGGTGACCGCAGTACGGTGAATTTTTTTTAATCACCACCACTCCTGCATCCGATATCCGCATCACTCGTATCGCAAGTCCTGACACCAACTCTCAAACGTTATGAAAATATGAATACATCCTCTCTGTATGTTTTAGAATGCGTGTAGAACAGCAGTGAATACGTTTTGACGTAAAAATAAGTCGTACATGATAGATTACATCCAATTACTGTTACAATCAAGAAAGCTCGTAAACAAAAAACGACGCATGGACAGTCGCACACCGATAGGCACCAGTAGTGGGACATTATATTACGTTTCACAAATGTAAATAGGAAACATTTGAGTTTAAATAAGTTGGCATTTCTCCGACCTGCCTGTGGAAACCCAGAAAGTCAAACATTGACTTCGTCTCATTGGTTTTTAAATCCTTTATATTAAGTTCACTTGCTTGCTTGCTTGCGTGCTTGCGTGCTTGCTTGCTTACGACCGTGCAAATCTTTCGGTCGTTTTTTAACCCACTTCCCGTGATCCAATCGAGCTGACATTTTGCACACAGACTCGTTGTGCGTGACAATTAATTTTCGTGAAAAATTTTTGCCAAAATTTTACACTGTTTAGGGAATTTTTTTTAAATATTTAATTACCAATTGCTTAATGGTGGCAGACAATCATCTGACCCATAGGTGGCAGCCATCTCAAGCCAGAGGACGAGAGGACTCTAGCCGCCCGATTCATGACGCAAATGTTGACTAACCACATGGCATGAAATCCCTGCCCCCAAGCTGTACAATGGAGACTATTTATAGAGCAGTTAAATTGAAGCCGCCAGGTTCTTGAAAGTGGTAAAACGGGTCAACGCTAGTGCCCTCGGGAATATACGGGGCATGTCAAGAGGTGATCTTTCATTTTTAAATCCTTTATATTAACTTCACTTGCTTGCTTGCTTACTCAAGAAAAACAGAAATAAATAATAAAATGAAACCGATGCCACGCATATAAAGGATTTATAGTGAAAAACTTTGTTTTTACGGGTTAATTTTTTTTCTGTAAAGTCACGTATGTAGAAATAAAATAAAATTTAAATTAATGTAATTAAAATAAATCACTACGTTTCGAATGCAACACAAGCGCTCATCATCATGTGGAAATGGGGTAAAACACATAGCGAGGGAACACACAGGGGGACATCACGCGCATAGCACACAGAGAACGGCAAACTGCATGGAGGCAAATACAGCAAGAAGATGGGAGACGAGAACTCAACAAACCTTAGAAACATAACGTGATGCAAAACCAGTCGGCCAACAACACAGTTAGACACTAACCTGGTTGACCACGTATTTCAAAAGACTGCAAATTTTTGTGTGCTCATCATCTGGGCTGAACATACCAACGTAAAACAGAGGACAAGGACTCGTGATCAGACACGAGGTACATACGCAGAGAAGACACAGGTAAAGATGTTTTGGGCAGCCCAGAGGGACAACCAGAGCAACACCACACCAAGAGAAATACACACATGCAGAGGCACACACAGAAAGATTAACTTCATCATCAACCCTGATCAATCCACTGCTGGATCGAGGCAGTCCTCCCCAACGCAAGAAAGAACTGGCCAGGTGCTCGTGTCAAGCCGAGTTGAGTCAGGGGTGGAGAATAGGTGGCTTCTTCAACAACATGTGCATTGTCGTTCTCTTCTAGCATGTGCACCTTTAGCATGTGCACTTATTGTCCTCTTTTAGCCCCGCCCCCCCCCCCCAATACGTTCCATTCATTGGCTACCACATTCAGATAAGCTCCTCCCCCCTCCTCCCCCCCCCCCTTAACTTGTATTTAAAAACTTGTATCTTGAAATGTTTTGCCTCACTTGATACAGCAAATCTAGCTGTGACGGTCCCACCTGATGACGGAGACTTGTGTTGCCTTCGAAACGTCGTGATTTATTATTTTATTTCTATTATTACTTTTATTAATTTTAATTTTATTATTTTTTACCTACGTGACTTTACAGAAAAGAAAAAAAAAACCTAAGAGTATTCTTCAGGTGGCTTCTTCAGGTGAGGTGACCTGCGAGACGCCCCTGGGAGATGTTCAACTGCAGACGATGCCAGCACGAAAGAGCCGGATTCAAACCCAGGCTACAGGTTCCGGCACCAAGTACATTTTACAAACACTTTAAAGACACAAACCGATCGGTGCATTTCAAAACGCAACCTCGGGATGATGAAATGACAAAAAAATTGCAATAAAGATCAAATGTCTTTCACAAGACGTTTTTATTTTATTCCATTAATACTGTCCATCTAAAAATATACAATTTGTAAAGCATCACACAATATATCAGTCAAGTTAACAGTATATTCGTGGATATAGTGGATACAAATCTTTTAGCTTTAAAATTATTCTATGAATTAGCGAAAAACACAACGAACTGCACGCAGTGTAAACCTCAGTTTGAACTTTTTTTGTGAACGATAAAATTGCAACGTAAGGTTTAACCTTTGGAAGAAACGAAACATCAGTGCAAGGGGCTATTGCTGCGGGGTTGATCTACTCGTCAAAAATCGTCGTTGCCCTCGCCTTCATCTCGTGCCTCTGCATCGTCCTTCTCGCTTTCCGCAGGAGACATTCCCCCTTCTTTGTCGTTGCTTACCCGCTCTGGATCGCCTCCCTCCTCATCGCCCAACCCTGCTTCTTCATCGGCAGAACACTGACCATTAGTCTCCTCATCCCCGATGTGCAGCACGCTCGTTAAGACCTTCTGCAACGTCTCAATGTCCTGGGTCACCATGGTCCTGCCGAGCTTGAGCCCAGAGCCGGCGTGGACGGTCTGCGCTCCGCCAAAGAAGTCGTCGTCGTCATCAACGGCGGCATCGGCGGCATCGGGACAAATCTCGCCGGCACCGTCTCTCCCCTCAACTTTGTTCTCCGTGCCGGTGACCGGTTCTGGATCGTTACCGTCCTCTCGTTCGTCCGTCACCGGAACTGTCGCCGTGTCTTCAGCCGGGCTGGAGGCGCCAGCGTGCTGGCGGCTCCGGCGCCTTAAACCAGAGCCTCGCTCCTCGATTTTGTTCTCCGTGGCACCGACGGGTTCTGGATCGCCACCATCCTCTCGCTCGCGGTTCGACTCGCCCGTCACCGGAAACTTCCCCGTGTCTTCAGCTGGGCTGGAGGCGCCGGTGCGCTGGGGGCTCGCTTGCTCGTCTTCGCGGTGCAAGCCGCCGAAACGGTCGTACTTTAAGTCGCGCCGATGTCGATACTTTGCCAGGAGGTCATCCAGTCCATCGTCTGTGAGAAGCGGCGATGAATCATCCAGGGCAGCCTGGCCAAGGGTGACAAGGCAATCGCTTAATCATTACGCGAACATCGGTCAATGCTCGGACCACGGCCGCCGAGTACCGCAGTAACCCTCAAACATGTCAACGTGTCCAGACTCGGCGCGTCTCCCCTGTGAAAATTCCCGTCGGTCGGTGCTCATCTGCATTGGCGGCCCTGGACCGGGAGTGGATATACCCGAGGGCCAGTTTAGCCATAGGACCATTGTTCAATTCTCAAATAGGTACACCGACTTGCAAAGTTTAACATTGTAAATTTACTTGCACACACGAGTATATGTGTATATTTTCAAATATTCCGCGACCCAAGTTGCATTCCCGCTCACGAAGCAATAACAGTGGTGAATATTTAAACTGGTCCTGGGCCTCCCCTAGGTCGACTCAGCCTCAAATGAATACCTGGTGAGGTGTGTAAATATCGCCACTGGGGAGAGAAAGGGGGGCAGATGTGGTGTTGGCCACCCACCCCCTTGTGTGCCGTGGCAAGCTTCTTAGATGCTTGCTAACAGCACTTTCCAAGTCTGTTAAGGCTATACGGAGGATCTTTGTATTGTCTTTGTATATACAAATGCAAGAAACCACGCTCAAAATGTTTTACTAAAAAATATATATTGTTTGGCATCAGAGGAAGCATAAGTATACATGCGTCATCAAATCAGTCCTCCATTAAATTAAAAGTAAACTACGAAACGCATCTTTTTTTTATAAATATACCATTAAACATTATTTAGCAACTTACATCAATATTAAAATCTCCTAGGTCTTGCTCACGCGTGCCCGGGTCATCGCGCTTCCCAGACAATTCCAGCGACGCGTCCCCGTGGCCGTGCAGGACATCGGAGGTGGCCAGCGAAGGCCGGTGCCGCCCCCCTCTCCCGTCGCCGGAGCTCCCGTGAGCGTGTCCTGGCGAGGCCTCGGCGCCCGCGCCGTTCCAGCGGTCGACGGGGCGGCGCGAGCGGTCGTGCTGGCCGTGTCCGTCTCTCGCGCGGCGCTCCTGAGCAGGGCGCGTAGGTGAAGCGCCGCCGCTGTCATCGAAATCATCGCCGTCGCGGCGGAGCGAATCGCGAGAGCGGGCGAGCGGACCGTCCGATCCGTCGGGCCTCCAGTCCCGCGGCAGGGAGTTTCCCCACTCCCGCGACTTCTCCATCCCGAGATCGCTCTTCAGCACCTCCAGCATGTGGCGCATCTTGGTCTGCATAACGGAATTGCATTCATTAGCGGCGGCGGCGTCGTCGTGATCACCGTCAACATTACTACCGGCTCTGCAAAATGTAACAGCTTGCAAAAATATCAACCGGAGAAGTCACTAATCCTAATATTTGGGAAGTATTCTGACAAAAGATGGCAGATGCTCGAAGGAGATTAGTGCCACGATTGCCACGGAAAGCGGAATTGAGCAAGAGAAGAATGCTGCTGCCAAGATGAACGAGCAGAGCGTTGAAGAGGTGAGTGAAAACCCTCGTATGCAACACAGTGTTTTATCCAGCAGAAACTTGGAGGAGGTTCTAGAGCCAGTTCAGGAGGAGAGGAGTCTCAGAAAATGCTAAATGTGGATTGGACACATGCTTAAGAGGTGAAAGCGCCATGAAGGAAGTTCTGCCAGTAAGGATGTTTATTGGTAAGATGCAAAAAGGAAGAAAACGGTGCCGGCTTGACAACTTGGATCAGTTCTGTACAGTAAAATGATTAAGAAAGCTAAAGGTCGGACAGGATGGAGGAGGTAAGCCAAGACCTGCTCTCTCTTTAGCAGAAGACTCAAGAGACAGCAGAGGCCTCAAGAGAGAGCAGAGGCATCCATCTATTTAGGAACTTATTAGATGTCCCAACACACGACTCTGATAATCCGGTGCCTTGGTGGGACTTCTATGGATTATAAACATTCCTAGCAGTGACACACGTGGGGTGGAGCGAGCGGTGGTGCAGTGGCTATCACACTGTGCTATGAACCCGGCGACCTGAGTTTGATTCCCAGCTAACTTCAGTGGTGAGTGATATCTGAATTGGTTCAGTACACCGCCCCCCCCCCCGCCCCTTCACCGACAGGCACTGACCAGCGTCGTTAAGATCTGATAAAACAATATTCACAAACAATTGCGAAGGCCTTCATCCAACCGAGGATTGTCAAAGGGCTGAACATACAGTCCCGCCACGTTTAACGCGGTAGACGCATTTCTGAAAAGTGCCGCGCTAACCAAAAAAAAAAACACATTAAGCGAGAACGATTTCCCCACAATAAATAAATGTCACGATAATATTTGGCAAGAGACGATATTACGCACACACGGTAGAAATGGCCTGACAAAGAAGTGAGATGAGGGTACGCCGCCGCGTACCGCATCATTCCGCGGGCATACCTAGAATTTCCATACCGCTCAGCCGCGCGCAAAGCAGTTCATGGTCGACCGCTCAGAAACTGCGTTACAACGGTGCATGGCTCCGCGTCACAATGGTGCGTTTTCCCCAATGGAAGAACCTCGTTATCGCGAAAACGGGTTGCATGAACACGCATTACCGTTATTACTACATTACCGCAAAAGTTTTTATTTGTAACATTCACTAAGATGATTTTATAAATGGTTGGTAATTGCTTAAATGATTAATACTTATTTTTTTAAACCAGGTATGAACCCATTGAGAAAAGCTTGCTAACAAGGATGCCTGGGGATTAATTCAAGTGTTGGCAGAAAGGAAATTGGTCCCAAGACACTGGTGAAATTGGCATAAAATATTGGCATTGCAGGAATGTCACTCTTTGTGGAATTGTCTCTTGCCTAACACAATTGTCACCAGGCACAAATATCATTAGGTACAAAATACATACATAGAAAATAAGTGTAAACTACAAATTGTAAATTTTTCTTTAAAAAAACTTTACCTGGAGAAAAACCGAGCCGTTACACGGCCCATTATTAAGCGACGTTAAACAATCGGTACTCTCGCAAGGATACACCCCAAAAGCCACGAGGGCGAGGAGAAAGCCAAATTTTGCCTCCGACAGCTACGTGATATTTTGGCAGCGGGCAATAACAGGATGCACGTGCATTCAATTCGGCCAGTTAAAACGCTGATGCTTGTTTTGAGCCTGTTGTTGTTGCTGCTGCAGACAGACGGCCGACTGCTTAGACGACACATCACAAGCGATTGCTTATGAGCACAGCAGCAGTTGTACACAGCCAAAGCGACACGCAAACAGATCTAATCTCGGGGATTAACAAGAACTCTGCCCCACCCCACCACCCCCCATTAGCTAAACGAATCAGCTTTTTTTCCAGAACGCTTGCATTAGGTGTGGTGTGGCATATTCGATTAAATCATTTATTGATGGCTTTAGATGTAATTCATGTTAACCTAATGACCGCACATTATGCGTGGGCTCTGGAAAAAAATAATAACTCCCCCCATCTCCGCCTCCCCCCCCACACAATGGAACATTTGGCGAATGGCAATGGCATTATATTTAACCTCTCTTCACCTATCGTGCAGCCAGATAAGCGACAAATGTCGCTGGGTCCGAGGAGCCATCGAAACACCCCTATAATGTCAGTGGTACGTTCCAACAGATGCGCACAAAATAGCGGTGAATTTAGAGCACCCATTCAGGAGCGGGTCGCACTAGATCACAGGGGAGCTCATAAAGCATAGTTTCCACGTATAAACTAATTAAGGGTCATTGTGGAGCACTATGCCATATGTAGCAGAACTTTGTTCCGTGTCTCAACATAAAAAATAAAATAAATATATGTTGCGTACAGCAGGTCCCCATTGTGTAGATAGAGTGCTTTTGCCAATAACATCTGGTAACCCAGCAGCATTCGTTGAACAAGCATGACTTTGCTGACGAGTCCCGGAGGGTGAAAAAGCAGTTCAGAGTTTGCGTGTTTAAATACATGCTGCTGCTAGATCCCATTGGCCTCGAAGGACAACATGCTAATGGGACTAAAACAATTCTATTTTTACGTGGAGACCGACCAGAGCTTTGGATATATTTGTTTCCATATACATACTTTCAGCGGAAACGCATGCCTCAATGCGAGACGCTCCAGGAACACTTTTAACCTGGATTAACGCTGTGACCACTGAACTCCACGGGTGGTAGGTCATGGTAGAACCTGGCGATTTGTCACGCCTGCAGTCAGCCACCCGAGTCATAGAGCACGTGACTTCACAGTAATCCTCTGCTACGGTCTACTCACAAAACCTATTCAATTTGGCCCACCACACACTGCCACGGATTAGGGCACCATCGCACGCATGTGCAGAAACAAGACGAAAACACTCATCTCCCCCCCACTCGCCCTCCCCCCCTCCATGCCGCCTTTCCAGATGTATCAGCAACGATCCCCAGCCCAGCCTTGAAAGCTCTCGCACGCAAAGCTCACTTCTTCAAGACGGTGTCTGTTTTTCTCCACGTGTCTCTCAAACACTCTCACGAGGACCCTGCGGGAGCAAAAGAGAGAACAAAAAAAAAGCATGTTGACAAACGCTGGCCACGTGTAACGAGCGTCGCGGGGAGGGGGGACAGCCCTGCGCAGACTTAAACAAGGCAGTCAGTCTCGAATACTCTTACAAACGCGAAGCCGTCCCCCGACGTCTCGGGGCAAACTCAAAGATAGATTCGGAGACTGATCCCTTGAGAAGAAACACCGAGTCTCAGAGAGCGTCCCCTGACGGGGGGGGGGGGGGGCCAAGGAGGTCAGGCAGCAGATGGTGCAACGAGTGTGCCGTCATGTGACAAAGAAATGAAACGGTTGGAGCAAAGATATCCGTCCACCCCGAGATGATTTACAGAAGACAATTACTTTTGTTTGCTTTCATTACCTTTATTAGGTGTGTTCGTCAAACACAACTTGTACAAGTGGTACTGACGCAACCCTGAAATGTCATGCTCACGTCACTGCTGCGATAAGAGCCTCCACTCGAGTGAGTTCTAGACACCAACGACGGGGAGTATTTTGGTCTACTCTTTCACGCTGGCCAGACGTCTTGAACGAGGGTGAGAGTACCCAACACTTTATCCCACCCACACGCAACCTGCCCATCGTCTGCGGTGTCTCTACTCATATTGCTGGGTGGACCAGTGGCTGGGGGGGGGGGGTTTAAGAAACTTGCTCGTTATTTCAACTGCCGTGCCGGGAGATCAACCCCGATGACCTCTAGAATACGGGTCTAGCGCGATTAGCATTACAGCACGGCAGCATCACGATGGGGCAATATTTAAAACACGCATACGGTGGATCTGGCAGTCTCTACACAATTAGGAGAATACACGGTGTGCCTTGAATAAGGACGTTTTCCAGGTGAACGGATTAATTATAGGCTCATTGCTTTTGTTGGCTGTGAAATTGGCTGCTATATCGAATGGTTGAAAATAGCGGTGTACCTTTCACTGCACAAAGGACAATGCACGTGACTACAAATAGATGGTTTAAAAATAAGGCAACAATGAATTATTTTTTACTTAAGTTGCAGTGTCATTTACGACGAAAAGAAATGCTCAATTATAATCAAAGCAGCATATTTTGATGATAATACCAGTTTAATATATAATTCACAAGTTGACCTGTTTCCTACTACCAGAATGTTTTAAGCGAATAAACCAGCATTCACATTTTACAATATTACAGTAGTTACAATGAAAACTATAATAATGTAATTAATTTATTCAGGACAGCCACACTGACTCTCGATAAAAAAATGTTACAGAAGGCTCCTCTTGCATTTGGGTGTCTGGCTATACCTATTTAAGGAGGTTTTGCATGCGGAACGAAACGGAAACACGCGGAGAAAACCCACACAGACGAGGGGATAACATCTCAATGGTCCACAGGGGTAGATAGGTTCATGGACCCACTTGCTGTACTACCAGCTCCTGGCCACCTTGCGGCCCAGCATGTGTGGGAGTTTCACAAAGCCACGTGTTTCTACCAACCCCTTACCAACCCCTGCCTTCTAAATGTTGGTCCACAATTGTATGCCACCATTCCCAGCGACAAATGACTACAAAGTGAAAGTGTGTATGAGGCTCATGTAAGTGACTGGATTGCTTTCTTACGAATTTGAGAACAATCCCATTGCCAAGATGTCATCGGTGACCTGTCCAATAAACTGCAAGTATTTCAGCTCTTCTTCTCTGTGGGTAAGAACAACATGGTAAGTGTACATAGATTAAGTGTACACACAGATCAATTCAACAACACTGATTTCATTCTCTATTTTCTAAGCCTACAATTAGCAATGTGCTATGAGCAGAAAGGCACAATCAAGACAGATATCATAATTGTTTTTTTACCCTTTTATCTGGCAACAAAACTGACACCTTTTTTACAAGAAGTCATGTTTGCATTGACCGCAATACCTGCGGTCGGAATGGAAACAAAAAACACAACTCTGATAATGTATGCACTGTCCTTGAAGTTGATTGGTCTGGTCCACACCCGAGACAGCTTTTCTTAGAGCCTGGTCTCACATGGTGTTGGACCAGATGACGCCAAAAGGCGCACAACTCAAAGACAATGCACCATCAGAGTATGAGAGTTCGGGGTAAGCATTTACACCATTTGAACCTCCTTTGCCAGTAGCAAAATATGATCATTGTTTTTTTATAGATATTTTTGAAAATTTTCACCACTATGAGTAAATTTGTATACTGACAGGGCAAGATAAATATGATCAGGTGCGTGTAAGGCATTGTGGAGCCATGCTCTGTCCACTGCTGGACGTAAGAGCCACCATGCTGATTCCATCACCACCCACAATGGAGTCGCAACACAGCTGCAATGCATCTCGCGCCACATGTAAGTGCTGCGCACCAACAGATGTGCGTCCACTTGAGTGCCGGGCATCCACAGGGGAGCGAGTTCACTTTAAAGAGAAGCCCTCCTGTGTGTGCAGACACTAATACTCTCCTACCCACTACCCCCCCCCCCCCAGTCCCCGCTACGCAAGTCAGCCTGACTCAAACACACACAGGAATGTACCAAATGCACGAGACACCACTTACTGTAAACGTGCCCTCTCCGCTGCAGCAGACTTGGGCCTAAAACCAACGACAAAATATTTATATTTAGAAGCCGGTGGGTGACAGCCCTTTGAGATGGGTCATTTCCCTTATAAATGCCAATTATTTTAGAATGCCAATTGTTTTTATGTCAACTGTTTAGCCAGGAAACCATTGCCGAGATTCAAGACCTTTTTTTCAGGAGGTTCCCGAATTTGTGATCTCTGGCCAATTCCGTGAAAGAGCGGTTTGGGGCTTCGCGTAGCAGGAAACTGGAGAACACTGAGAAACCCCCCACACGTACGAGGGCTAGCGCTCTACGCTTGCCACCTCCTGGCCAGCTCGCGCAGCTCCTTGGCGAGAAAGTGCTGTATAAGAACAAGCGGAGACAAGTTTCGTTTGCAAGGGACAACCATAGAAATATGGTGGGGGGAAAAATAATAATAGGGTAGAACACGCGTGTAAACAAAAACATTGCAGACAACAAATAAAACACACACCACTATCGCAGTACACTGATGTATGGTGCTCAGCTATTAATTAAGCAATTTATATTTAACAATAACTTGCTGAATGTTGTTATTGCCATTATTTTATTCCAATTTCACCAGTCTTCTAATCTAAGTTTCCAATTTTTTTTATTAAGTCCCAGGCCTCCTAGCTATAGAAAGCTTTAATGGGTTGCTGCCAGGTTTAAAATAAAGATAATAAACAATGTGATCAATTAGCAAGCAGTTGAACATGTTCTCCAGTGAACGTTATCAAATAATTCAGTAATTTCAAATAATAACCACTCCCCCTGCCCTCACGCGGGGTCCCCACGTGGTTGGGGCAGCGGATCCTACTTCACCCCTCCTAAGAATGGTGTCGACGCACCGATCGGGGGCTTCCACGAACATTATATATGTAAAAAAAGAATAACAACAACGTACAGACCTTTGTCAATCCACTGTTGACTGGCGAAGATGAAGAATGCCACAAATATATTCGGCGTAAAAATGTTTAAAAACAAAAAACATCGTAGAATGCGCACACATTTCCAATCGCGACACCTACCGCAGCGCTTGGCTCAGTGTTTTCCACAATCGCTTCCACCGATAAAATCGTGCGGCAGTATCGTTCGTTGTGCCAAGCACGCAAATGCCAGCACCTGGAAACTTACCCCGGCGAAAGACTTGTGGCTTGGAACCAGTCCCGTGCCCGCACGGGGGCTTCTAGCCCCTCGGTGTACCTTGCCTGGAGTCGCCAAACACGAGACCACAAATCATAATTTTTTGCCGATTTCCTCCCAAATGTTTTATCCAGATTATGCTATCGGTGTCGCGTCACGGGACGGAGTATCCTATCGCAGGGCGGTGCAAAACTTAGTGGTGGAGAACAACCCGTGGAAGCGGACACCACAGAGCTACTTCAGAGATTCCTTCACGAGACCTCTGGTGCCACACAGCGGTGTGCAGTGCCTTTCCAGCCAGACGGCAGTGCAACCCTTCAGTGTCGTCCATGGAAGTGGATACCACGAAACTACTTCTGAGATCCCTTCACGTCACGTCGCGTCCACACAGCAGGGCGCAGCACTTTTCCACAGAGCAGTACAACCCTTCTCGTGTTGGAGAATGAAACGCAGAAGGTAAACAATGATGAACTTAAAGGCATTGGATTGATGGATGTAGAGACCTTTGTCAATATACCGATGGAAAAGGGTTCTTCTCCATTCCATACGGGTCGTTGGGGTCATACAACAGTGCGCTGGTAGGTGTGGGTTGTGAAGGTTGGGGAGCATAGAAGTACACTACAAAGATTCATTTTGCTACACTGCCCTCTGCTGACCACCACAGAGTAGCTCCGTAGCCACTGATGACAGCCTGGAGTGCGCAACGGTTACCAATCTAAGCACTATCCACACTCAAGCCTGCTTAGCTTGACAAGAATGGGTGCATTCTGGGTGATTTTGTAATTGGTGAACAATTAATAATGAAAAAATGCATATGAGACAGTGATGCAAAGGTAGCCCAAGCCCTTCTGCATGCGGCAGAGTTACTTTAGACCAGGGGTGGGGGAACCTTTTGTCTGCCAAGGGCCATTTGGATATTTATAACATCATTCACGGGCCATACAACATTATCAACTTAAAAATTCGCCTGTTATATTTGGTCAAACATTTAATTAACTCACCGCTAATGCGATGGCTGGAACTGCTTCTCTTTGGCGAGGAGTGTGATGTTAGCTGGTATTGATGATGTTGCTACTCGCAACTGCTTGTCCAGGTTTGCTCTTAGATTTATTGAATTTCGAGTCCTGCCTGCGGTTGCCTTGGCAGGGCTAGACTAAATGATTTCGCGGGCCTTATACGGCCCGCGGGCCGGACGTTCCCCACCTCTGCTTTACACATTAAGAATGGTCTTGGTTGATTTACTGAAGCAGAGCAGTGGAGCAGGTAAGTGAACACACCTGTTCCAGCACCCAGCGTGCATGATTGGCGTCCGTCTGGTACATATCCTCGCTGCAAAACGGGCATCAGGAGGCATAAGAGAGATACACGACAATAAATGTACAAAAGTCACTGCCAGGGCATAGAGACAGTCTAAGCAGAGACTAAGCTATCTGATGAGCTAATTTAACATCGATGGTCTTTGCTCTGGTCTTTCATCTCTATATTTTGGGCAACACTTCGATCAATTCGGGCAATTTTTGGTGAGAAAAGTCCCAAATAGCAGCAACACAACTCTACACTCAAATCTGGTTCGTATTGAACCATCATCACGAGAACTACAATCTTGACTTAAAGCTTTCGTGACTGCAGGAATTCATACTCTTGGGTCTTTCGGTAAAGTCACGTAGATAGGTTCAAAGAAAATAACAAAAAATAACAAAAAACTACGACGTTCCCATCGCAACACAAGACGACCGCTTGTGCTGCGATCGAAACGTCGTAGTTTTTTGTTATTTTTTATTATTATCTTTGAACCTATCTACGTGACTTTACCGAAAGACCCAAGAATATGAGAACTATAATGCCCCACCGTTAAGCATAGACAGATGGACTGATGCATGGAAACAGCTAATGCACGAACACTTTAAATCCAAGAAGGAATCCGTAAAAAAAAAAACTCGTTAAAAACATAAAACCACCCAACGTCAGAACGCGCCACAATGACCCCCGCTCCCCTCCCCCCCCACACCTGTCGGGGTCCGTCTGCACGTCCCTCTCCACGAACGTCTTCCCGGGAGGCGGCTGACGAGCTCGGCGTCGGGGCGGCGCGTAGTGCCGCGTGCGGGCCAGCAGCGCGGCGCTGGCGTCCGACCTGAGCATGCGCGGCGTGAACGGTCGCTCGGCCGTCGTGAACGACTCGGCGTGCTTCTCCAGGACGTCGCCGCCCGCGAACGTGCGGCCGCGAGCGTCGCGGTACGGCCGCTCGGGGGCCGAGGCGGCGCCTGCCGTTTGCGGGGGGCACAGCCAGGAGCGTCAAGCAGCCTTCCAGGAGGTTCCCGTGCGCGTTAGCTGCTGCGAGTGCTCTCCAGGCTGCTGCGTTCGCTGCTGCGAGCGGTAGTGTTGCGGTTATCCCGAGTTCGATTCCCGCTCACAGCCAACACCGGCGACTATTATCTGAACCGGTCCTGGGCCTCCGTAGGTTGATTCAGCCTCAAAGGAGTACGAAGTGCGATGTGTAAAAACTTCCCTACTCGGGGGACAAAGACGGCCGGGTGTGGTGCTGGCCACCCACCGCCTTGTGTGCCGTGCCGGCCTTCATAGGTGCTCGCTAACAGCACTTGCCCCAACAGTCTGTAAAGGCTATAATGAGAATCTTTGTCTTTGTTCTCTCCTACACGTGGGGGTTTTCTCTGGGCAGCGGTGGCTCGGCACGGAGAAAAGGCGCTTCGCCGGATGTCACCGGTGCGGTAAATAAAGGATTGTTTAGCTGCCATCTATGGGTTAGGCCCGCGTATCACGATGTCACAGAACTACTGCTCAAGTCATGTCAATATAAGCGTGGCTCCGCACATTAGACAACCTCGCAGGCAAAATGTATAAATCAGTAATGATGTCGGAAGTATTTCTCATTTTATTTTAAATATGGCTTGTTCACGGAATAAGGTGATGGTTTTGACACGCACATGAAACTGAATGCCCCATCATCTGAGTAAGTGCGACACTATGGGATGTTATGAGCAATTATCCTCTCTCAAACTAATTTGGACCAACTATTTACATCTGTATGACAGTGCTCATTGGTTGACATATGATGCCCAAGTAAAAAACCAGAAAAGAATAATGATTACCCACATTTTTAATGGATTTGAATTGTAAAGCCAGGACTCTTTGTTCACCTTCTCTTCCATATGCTCTACAAAAAGTTATTTCCACTGCATATAAAACTAAACATTTTTGTTCTCAAAGATGGAATAAGATAAATACATATTTCCAATGCCAGTTCTATTTTGCAATGACAGTCCCATTAGTGATGACCTGCATCAATCATTATTATTTAGATGTTGTGCTGTTCATCTTCTTGGTTCTTTCGGTAAAGTCACGTAGAAGGGAAATAATAAAATAATTAAAATAAAACATAATAAAATACAATTCTCACTTTGTGAGAATTGTATTTTATTATGTTTTGTGACAATTGTATTTTATTATGTTTCATTTTTATTATTTACCCATGTGGGTAATGACTTTGTGAGAATTGTATTTTATTATGTTTTATTTTTATTATTTCCCTTCTACGTGACTTTACCGAAAGAACCAAGATGAATCCCTGCAGTCCCGAAAGCTTTAAATCGAAATGTTGTGCTGTTTATATGATTGCCATGTACATGCATCCTCAGATGGTCTCTCACTTTAATTATTTAACAACTTTCAAAACAGCTTAGAAATGCCTTCATCCGGCAGTGGACTGATCACGGTTGACGATGACAGGGGGGAAGGGGGGCCCAGGTGGTGGGGGCAGGCGTGGGCAGCTGAGCACTCGCCTGCGGAGGGGCAGGACAGTAGGGAGCGGGCGCGCTGGGAGCCGGGCAGGGACGCGCCCCCCCCACCACGCTGGGATCTGGTGTGACGCCGCAAGTCGGCCCAGCGCGCTGCGTCGCGCCCGTGCAGCAGCAGCAGTGGCGAGGGCGACGAGGACCGGCCCGCGTCGCGCGGCGCCTCCGCATACGACGGGAAGCCCGACGACAGCGCCAAGGCACTGCCGCACCGCGGCGGAGGAGAGGGGCTCTGTGGCAAAACAAAGCCACGCGGCGATTTTATATATACGAGCTGTACTACCCGGCTTCGCCCGGAACTTGGATCCACCACGCCCGGCCGCCTTTGTCTCCCCAGTGGCGATGTTCACACACCACAGCAGTTACTCGTTTGAGGCTGAGTCGACCTAGGGGAGGCCCAGGAGCGGTTAAAATAATCGTCACCGGTGGTGGCCGTCAGCGGGAATCGAACTCGGGTCGCCGGGTTCGTAGCGCAGCGTAGCGCTAACCGCTACGCTACAATGCGTTACGCTTCCACATGCACGGGTCACGTGACAGATATGACGTCACAGCTTACTTGCCATGCAAAAAATATATACATTACTGAGCTCCCCCCCCTCCCCCCAAAAAAAGTGTATTTTTATAATTTTTGCATGGTGTACAATGTGGAAAGTACCCACATGGCAAATTTCAAGTTTGTTGCATGTTGGGAAGCACGCTAAACATTTTGAACACACACACATCATCACAGCTTTGCCTTTTATATATGTGGAGAAATATTTTTTTACCAGGGAAGGCCCACTGAGCTACATAGGTTTTTTTTTCAGAAGCAACCTGGCTATCGTAAATGATAACTCAACAAAGTAGCTCGTCTTCATGTGCAAATTTAAATTTGGACTGCATGTATGATGATTTTAAATGTGGAGGGAAAAACCGGAAGACCCGGAGAAAAATCCACGCAATCACAGGAAGAACATGCAGTCCAAATATACAGGCAGCAGGAGGTCGTGGATTCGGGATCGAACCAACGACCTCTTGTATACCAGGCGAAGTAGTTCACATCTCGCTACCCTCAATATACGAGTCAGAAATATGTATGCACGTAACCCCGTAGGCTCCAGATTACAAGATGATCCGTGAAGTCAGATGCACTCAACACTTTTGTCCTGTTTTAAAAATACCGGTTACACCTTAACACCTACCGAGATAAGAGAAACACCCCCCCCCCCACCTTTTGCTTTAAAAGACAGGGAAAACAACAGGACATAAACCTTGGAATATGGTCATGTAATGTTACGAGGCAGGGTGAGAGACCCTAGGGGGGGAATGATACCTTTTCAATAACTATTAAAAAAACAGACCTACCCTGAGAAAGGTGGGGCTCAGCTCATTGGGGCACCACGGTGGCGAGATGTTAACTACCTCGCCTGGTATGCAGGAGGTCGTGGGTTTTTTCCCGACCCAGATGCCTGTATATTTGGAGTTTGCAAGTTTTCCTCGAAGTTGTGTGGATTTTTCTCCGGGTCCCCCGGTTTTTCCCTCCACATTTAGAAACATGCGTTTGGAGCATTTAGCTGCGATACATTTCTACGTGATAAGTCACTCCTTTGAGCTATCATTTGTGGCCGGGTCGCTTATGAAAAAGAGCTTTATATCTCAGTGGGCCTTACTTAGTAAAATAAATAATAAATTTTGTTTTTTAGTTGCATTGCTTGCGGCAACGCTTCAGAGCCGCAAAGCACCATATATCCTCAGCCCATCTTAACTCCATATCTCCAGCTCCCTCCCATCCCTTCTCACTGCTGGATAATGTTGAGATGTGAGAAACCCTGCCAACTCCCTGACCTAATGCGTCGTGGGAGCGAGGCAAAGGGGTTGAGAAGTGTAACGCGGCGGATAAAACGCGGTGCTCTCGCTCTGTCGCTCACCCACCCATGTGCGCGACGGTGATGCGGTGCGAGCGGAGGCTGGCCGGGAGCCCGAGCGAGACAGCGACGGGTTGCTCCGCAGATCCTTCTCTGCGTGACGCACCTCCTTTCGCAGCCACGCCCGCCGCTGCTGGTCCCGGTCTGTGGCCGTGCAAAGTCATCGCTTTCACTTTGTGCATGTGAGTATGTATGTATGTTCAACTTCTTTCACACCATATGGAGCCAACCGAGCTAATCAGAGGCACAGGGGAAGGGCAATAAACTAAATACAAAAAGCAGCTCTGAAGAAATGAGTTTACAATCTAGATTTAAAAACGCATAGCTCTAGTAGCTTCCTAATATCGGAAGGAAGAGCGTTCCAGACGGCCGCAGAAGCGCTTCTGAGAGCTCAATGCGGCGACCGTCTTTGTTCGATGGCTAGCCAAATGCCGCTGCTGTGAGGATGACACCAGATCAGCAAGGTATTGTGGTTCATTGTGGCAAGCACTACTTCATTGCCTGTCAAGTTTGTTCATCACATCAATAATAATAAAATTATATTCGAGTCGTCAGGTTGGAATAATCTAAATGAAGTAAAATATGAAATTAGAAACTACTTAGGTTTTCGTGGCTGTGTTGTAATAAACTAAACAATTTTTTTTATTGTAACAGGTAAGGCCCATTGAGCTATATAGCTCTTTTTCAGAAGCAACAAATGATAACCTAATAAAGTGGCTTATCATGTGGACATTTATAGCAGCCAAACACTATCAACACATGTTTCTAAATATGGAGGGGAAAACCGGAGGACCCAGAGAAAAATCCACGCGACCATTGGGGAGAACTACAAATATATAGGTGGCAGGGTCGAGATCGAACCCACGACCTCCTGTATACCATGCGAGGGAGTTAACATCCCACTATAGTGGCCCTCACCCCACGTGCCGGGAGAGAAACATCAGACATCATGCCGAAGAACTCGCAGCCTGACTCGAAAACACTTCGGAGATGAATATAAAATGGATCTTGGTGGTCTGGGGCCATGAACTAGCTATACATGAAAATCTAGTTTAATCGTAGCCGATGGATGGATTAGGCCCTAATCCGAACCCAAGTTATCCATGTAGCCTCAGTCGTGCCACATGCTCATTATGAACCCCCACTCCTCTCTTCCCCATGTCACCCGGCCACCTGCCAAGCAAGCAATTCTCAAATTAGGTTCAACCATCCTCAAGAGTAGCTCGTCTAGCAGTGTATTGCATTGAGATGTAAATTCTGTTTAGTTGTTAGGGGGAGGCAGGCAACAGGATTGGAATGTGAAAACTGCTAGGTCAAAGCACCCATTGTTCAGAGAGCCCTGCAGACAATCAATTAAAGTAGTGGATTTACCCTTTCGTTTATTTTTCACAAGCAAGTGTGAACCAATGGGGTCTCATATCCATTTTGTTGAACACATGTTTTGATAACAGACGTTAATAATTGCAGAGTGTACAGATGACTCCACTGAAGCTAATTAGGAGGGCAGATTACTCAAAGGCTAAAATTGGAAAATTTTAAATGAATAATTCAACCTTTATTACAGATCTGAAAAAGATGTTTTGTTTGAGTGTCTATGAAATTATATTAATGGCCTTGTAGAATCATGTTTAATGGATAGAAACTTAAGGACAGACTTCAATATTAAGGATCTCGTCAGCAGTCAGGCTCGCCAAACAAATAATGTTTTACCAGATTGTTACTGGAAAGAGTTCTTCCTCTAAATGCCATGAGTTCTGCCAGTGGCAATACACAATATTGGATAGAGTGCAAACGAATAACATTGCAAACACACCAGATTGTGCGAGCTACTGGGTATAAACAACCACGGTGCCAGTGCTTCCCACAGTGAGTCATCTATTTAACGTGCAAAGTGTAATTATGAATCCACCACCTGGACAACAGCCACAGTACCCAATACTGGGGACTGTTAAACAATCCCAGGGCCGATTCCATTACATCAAGCACTTCATTTGTCGATAATGAAATACGAGCACTGCACCGAGCACTTCTGAGTGCAGCACTTCCTAAAGTTGTTTAATGGGGAAAGAAAATACAAAATATAATTGCCGCTTTAAAACTAAATCCGATTAGTGGTTAACACCTGATCTGCGAGTGCACTACATTGACATCCGAGCCACATTGCGATGAGAAATACCCACATCCGGCCTTGTTCATTCCTGTAATGGTACTTACATTTCACGCTAGTCAGTAGGCTCTTGGGCAGAGACGAATCGACAGCCGCTGTTGTGAGAGAACACGACATCACGCCACCATTAAATGGACACGCTCAGAGGTGGTGCCTCGTGCATGTACATCCGGGTGCGGTGGTGTGTGCCGGTAATCAAGAAACCTTTAGAGTATGTATGTTGAACTTCTTTCGCACCGTACGTAGCCAACCATGCTAATCGGAGATGCGGATAAAACTTAAGAGGCAGCATTGGTAGATCACGAAGAGAACACATGCTAGGTACCCATCTGGAAAGTCATTGTTGCATGTAGCGCTTATACCATGCTGAGTAGTTCCGACGGACGTACTCGTAGACGGAGGTAAGTTAAGGGCTTCTGCCAGGGTTTAGTAAAGCTGTTACAATAATACACAGCAGGGTACACAACTCCCAGGGGATAGGGGTCCTACTCTGAGTCCGGGTCCCTGCCGGCTCGCTCCGGTCTCTCTCTCTCTTGTGTCGGATCGTGGACTCTGCCGACTCCACCGACCGGAAGAAGCACCTCTACGGCTATCACCGGCTTCTCCCAAGACTCCCTATTCGATCCCTCTCTCTACCCCTGGTTCCCTCTTCACCCTGCTTACTCTACCCGTTCCCCCAGTGACCCCGCTTACGTCACGGGGTATCCCTTAAGTACCCTAGGAGACGTGACGTCATGTGCACTGTCCAGCGCGCGTGACCCCACGTCCCGTGACGTCATCGCACTGGACAGCGCACATGACGCCACTACGCTCCTCTACTCCTCTACACTTATACAATCAATGAAAAGAGTTACTGGGCAATAGGGCTCCGCTCGGACTCCCAATATGACCTTCCCGGCAAAATCAACCAGACGGCAATCCTCAGTTTAGCTAGTTCAAATGACTCTCACGATTACAGGGAGCTGCACGCTTTCACTTGGGCCACCCTCGCGTCCAGTCATGATGTCACTTGATCAAAGCAGAACACAGAAGCTCCCAGGACGTAGAGTGAAACGTCTGACACCGTGATTAACACCACGTGTTACAACCCAAAAACATTATAATTGTTTTTTTACCCTTCTATCTGGCAATAAAACTGACACCTTTTTTACAAGGAGTCATGTTTACATAGACCACAATACCGGCAGTCATAATGCAAACAAAAAACATAACTCTGATAATGTGCACTGTCCTTGAAGTTGATTGGTCCACACCCGAGACAGCTTTCCTTAGAGCCTAGTCTCACATGGGTTGGACCAGATGACGCCAAAAGGCACACAACTCAAAGACAATGCACCATCAGAGTATTAGAGCTCAGGGTAAGCTAACAGAAGAGACGTTAAACTTCCAGGATGTGCAAAGAAAATGCATAGACTATTCCACCGAAAATTTAAATGTGCTTGGCATAGCATAACCTTCGACAAGAATTTATTCATTCTTGTTAAAAATAAGGACACGTTTACGATCGCTGCCCTCCTGCCGCGTATAGAAGGGAGGGGGGCTGGGGAAATGGAGCGAGGTAACGAGCCCATGGAAATGTGCTGCTGTGCAGCATTGGAACAATAATCGAGCCAAGCTGAGCCGCTCTTAATACAGCCCATGATTGCTCGGTCTGCATTGGAAACGGTTGTTAAAAAGTAATCATCGGATATGCTGGTACACACAGTGGCGCCCACTCTCAAATTCCACCACGAGCGATTTGACATTTAATAAATACCACTCGCTCGAATGAGCCGGCGACACTGGACTAAGACGCCGGCCTAAGGTTTCAAATCATTTGAGCAAAACATTAAATTAGAGATCAATAGACTGCAGAAAGGAACGTGGGAGTTAATGGACTGCAAAACAATTACAGGGGCACAACATGAGAAGACAAACATGCCCCATTTATGGTGTACAGCTTATGGGGAAAAGTGCTGTTACTGAGCATCTATTAAGCTGAGTAGAGTTCGTAGCGCAGCGTACAAACCACTCTCCACAATTGTAACACAAAAGACAAAGATCCGCCGTATAGCCTTAATAGACTGTTGGGGCAAGTGCTGTTAGCGAGCACCTATGAAGGCCGGCATGGCACACAAGGGGGTGGGTGGCCAGCACAACGCCCGGCCGGCTTTGTCTCCCTAGTGGTGATGTTTACACACCGCACCAGGTACTCATTTGAGGCTAAGTCGAATAATTGTTACTGATGTTGGCCGTGAGCGGGAATCAAACCAGGGTGGCTGGGTTCGTAGCACAGCGCGCTAACCGCTACACTTCAGCTCCCCACACACACAAACACACCAAGACAAAAATCCAAACTTTCACCATAAGAGTCCACAATTGCAAATTCTATTCGGGGAGCACCTACTAAGAGGCTGGTGTACAGCACATTATGAGGTGGCCACTGCCTTGCGTGGGCTACTTAAGACTCTCCAGTATTTCAACGGGTACTTATTTAAAGGCCGAGTTGACCTGAGAGAGATCCAGGAGATTTGTGTGCCACTTGCCAGTTATCTGTGGGCAGGGAATCAAACTTAGGTTGCCACTGCAACTTCACATAGAAGGACCCTCCGTATAGCCTCAACAGTTTCTTGTTAGCAAGTACCCATTAAGGCTGGCATGTTATATGACGAGGTGGTGGAACCACAACCAAGCCTGTCCACCTTTTTCTTTCCAGTGCTCATGTTGACACACTACACCTGCACTAATGTAAGGCACTTAGAGGAGGCCCAGGACTGGTTCAGATACAACTTGCCACTGATGTTAGCCATGGGTGGGAATCCAACTTGTACTGCCCGGTGTGTCGCACTGTGGGTTAACCACTGTGCCACCACTCTGCAGGAACTCACGCTCACACAGACACACACACACAAAAGATTCTGCTACCTTTGGCTGAAGAGATTCGGTTGTAATGTGACGTCATTTGGTCCTCGATCATCATCTGGCTCGCAATTCTGCTGGAAGAGCCAGGGCAAAATGCTGCTCCATGGAACACAAAGGGAACACCGCAGGTATCACCACCGTGGGTTACATTACATGCAGGGAAACCTGAACCAATACAAACCCACCCCTGTGAGATAACATTCCAAACACTATCAACAACAAAAAAACACTAATACATTTGTTAATAACGCTGCCACAGTGGCGAGATGTTAACTACCTCACCTGGCATACAGGAGGTCCTGGATTCGACCCTGACCCGGAATATTTGGAGTCTGCATGTTTTTCCCGTGGTAGCGTGGATTTTTCTCTGGGTCCTAAAGTTTTTCCCTCCACATTTAGAAACATGCATTTACAGTATTTGGCTGCTATAAATATCCATGTCATAAGCCACTTCGTTGAGCTATCATTTGTGGCCAGGTCGTTTCTGAAAACGGAGATATATAGCTCAGTGGGCCTTACCTGGTAAAATAAATTAATAAATCTTGCTCACATCACTGCTATGAGCCTCCACTAGAGTGAGTTCTAGACATCCACTGAGGAGTATTTTGGTCTATTCTTACATGCTAGCAAGACATTTTTAAAGAGGGTGAGAGTACCCACACTTTATCCCACCCATATGCGATCTGCCGATCGTCTGCGGTGTCTCTACTCATATTGCTGGGTGGACCAATGGTTGGGGGGGGGGGGATTAAGACACTTGCTCGTTATTTCAACTGCCGTGCCAGGAGATCGACCTCGATAGCCTCCAGATTGCAAATCTCGGTGTGCTTAGCATTACAGCACGGCAGGATTACTTGTACGATGGGCAATATTTAAAACATGCGTGCAGTGGATCTGGCCTCTGTGGTAGCAGTTACATTGGAGAAACCAAACGACATGTCTCGGACCGCATCCGTGAACATAAGGCAGACCTGAAACACGGTAGGACAAACACCTCAGCCGTGGCAGATCACTGTTACAACTCAGTGGGCTCACATGATATTGACTTCTCCAAGACAGAGGTTCTCTGCAAGCCATCTGGCTATCATGAGAGATTCGTTCATGAGGCGATCCACATATACAAACACAGAGACAATTTCAACCGAGAAGATGGATTCTGGCTTAGCAATCATTGGAAGGACGTAATAAACCATTTCGGATCTTAACTGATTGTGTTCACGTTTACGGTGACTTTCAGACCGCGTTCCACTCACTGGCATGGTGCAGTGTGCAGAGTAATGTATGGTGTCGTAATTGTATAGTAAACATATAGCAGTGTGATACACATTAGGGTGGGTAGAATAATACATAGTGTTATATTAAAATGGATAAGGCAGCAACTGCAGCAGCACCAGCAAGTGCAGCAGCAGCAGTAACAGCAGCAGCAGCAACTGCAGCAGCAGCAGCAACTGCAGCAGCAGCAGAAACTGCAGCAGCAGCAACTGCAGCAGCAGCAGTAACTGCAGCTCCCTTTGATGCTGTTAATCCTGCATAATGCACATGCATATGCAGTACTAATCACATTCCTGCATTTCCCATAAATATGCTAAATTCCTTTTGATATGCAAATTCCTTTGTCAATGCGCCCAGCTTATATATATGCTCCAAGCTCGTGTGCTGTTTCATTCAGACTCTGTCGCCTCGACGGACCTGGTTTTCACCTGAGGACGGCTGCTTGCGTTGTGGCCGAAACGTCGTGAGAATTGTTTTATTATGTTTTATTTTTATTATTTTATTACTTCCCTTCTACGTGACTTTACCGAAAGAACCAAGAAGAAGATCTGGCATTCTCTCACACAATTAGGAGAATACACGGTGTGCCTTGAATAAGGACGTTTTCCAGGTGAACGGATAAATTATAGGCTCATTGCTTTGTTGGCTGTGAATTTGGCAGCTATACCGCATGGTTTAAATAGCGGTGTACCTTTCACTGCACAAAGAAAACGGCGCGTGACTAAAAATACACGGTTTAAAAATAAGGTAACAATGCGGTTTTTGAACTTAGGTTGCAGTGTCATTGAGTGAAGAGAGTGGTATATAACATTTTTTATAAATAAGTTTCATTTGGAAGTTTGATTTAAATTGCAAATCTTTAACCATGATGAATGTCGGATTGGGACACCATATCTTGTGATTATGCACGCAATACACAGGTGTTCCAACTGTACATCAAGGTGCATACAACATCTTAGGTCAAGGTGAACATCTTCATGTTTTTGTCTCTAGTTTGCTGCTGTACTGAAGTACCACGAATCTCCCTTGTAAAATAGACGGTCTAACTGGATAAACGCGATCATCCGTGCAACTAATCACTCAAACTGAAAACCAAGAGATGACAACTTTGCATTCTGACACTGCTATCTGGTCTTTCGTATCACCTGGAATGCACCCGGATCTCGTCAGAACTGAGACGCTAAGCAGGGTTGAGCCAGGATTTCTGCGTGCATGGGCCACTACCATCCATGAGGCAGATATTGTAGGCTGCTGCAGGGCTACCTTGTCAGCAGAGGGCAATGCAGCAAAACCCATTGTTGTATTGCTCAAGTACGGTCAAACAATCCACAAAACCCACGAACTTAACTGAACTAGTTGTATTTTACCAGGTATGGCCCACCGAGCTATGTAGCTCGTTTTCAGAAGCGACTTGGCCACAAATGATAGCTCAACGAAGTGGCTTATCGTGTGGACATTTATAGCAGCCAAATACTCTAAAACGCATATTGAATCTAAATGTGGAGGAAAAAACTGGAGGACCGGAGAAAAATCCACGCAACCACAGGGAGAGGGCATGCAAACTCCTGATATACAGGCGTCAGGGTCGGAATCGAAACCACAACCTCATGCATACCAGGCGAGCTATTTAACATCTCGCCAGCGTGGCGCCGCTCGCGTGGATGAAGCCTTTGTCCAGCAGAGGGCTGACAAAAAGTTGCTTAAAAGTAAACAACTTTGTGCCTACTCACAAGGTGTCAGTTTTTGTACCAGTTGAAAGGGTAAAAACCTATTACTATATTTTTCCACTGGTAAAGGAGGTCTCATAGTGTAAATGCTTACCCTGAGCTCTCAATACTCTGATAGTGCGCTGTCTTTGAGTTGTACGCCTTTTGGCGTCATCTGGTCCAACACCAATGGAGACTAGGCTCTAAGAAAAGCTGTCTCGGGTAGGGACCAATCAACTTCAAGGACAATGCATATCATTATCATCATCAGAGTTGTTTCTTTTTGTTTGCATTTTGACTGCTTGTGTTGTGGTTATTGCAAACATGATGCCTTGTATAAAGGTGTCAGTTTTTGTACCAGTTGAAAGGGTAAAAACCTATTACTAAAACTTTGTGCCTCATTGTGATTTTATTTTCCACCGCCAATATGAACAAAAAGTAAAAACGACGCAGAGAGGGTGATGTCAGGCTGTTGGGAGGCTTACGGCCACTCTTCATCGCCAGGTGACCCCGAGCTGACCCCACAATGCTGCGGCGCCCTGGCCATGACGACGCGTCTAAGCATAAAACAACAAGACAGCATGGCAGAGGCGTCAGTTCTTGTACATATACAATTAGCCCCAAAAATATATGCACATGATAACTTTCATAGTAGGGAAAGTAGAAAGGACGATATACAGAACCTAAAAAATGCAATGTTTTTTTTTCATTTGTGTGGTTTAGGGTTGAATAATTAACCTGAAAATTCTTCCAACAGCAATTTAGAGTGATACATTTCATGTATATGGCATTGTTTCTACATTGTGCTTGTAATTCATTTACTCAAGTTTTGAATTAATTACAGCAGTGCCAAAATCTATCTCGCTCCTGCGCATCAACTCCGTTTAGCACGGTTGTCAAGGTATGGTATGAAAGAAGTTCAACACACATACATAAACTGTGCATTCCCTACTTTGGCTGCCAATCGATCACCCGTCTTTGTCCATTGGCCATCATCCTACTCACGATGAATCCTGCCCGAGTCTACTTACTGTGCTCAACAGTCAACAAGGTATTTCTGATTTGTGTTTGTTCGTCGATTCATGCGTTTCCGCAAATTGTCTCTGTGTAATTCCAAGCCTGCATCTCTTCATACTTCTTCGCACACTTTTCATCGTTGTTGCATTTTAAGTCGGTGTCCACGTCTCTCATTCAAATATCACACGTAAGAGTTCACACGCAGATTCTATGGTTCTTTCGGTAAAGTCAGTGTAGGTAGAAAAAATTATAATCCTGATGACGACTGCTTGTGTTGCGATTGAAACGTCGTGATATTTTTAATCACTTTATTTGATTTAAAAAATTTCCATCTACGTGACTTGACCGAATTCCTGCAGATTGTGAACATTCTTTATCAAAATGTAACATTTGTTTTACCATCAAAAACATACACTGTTATAGATATTTAATGTGAAAGAGCACGACCACTGTGGAAATGGAGTGATGAGATCAGTTCACGTGCAGGAGTCAGATGGATGGCAATGGCGTGGGGAGGCGTTCATCCAGCATTAGGCAGATAATGTATGAAGATGATGAAAAAGTGATAACATATTTTTTATAGTACAGTTACAATAATTAGAAAACGGAGTATGAACTTAATGGTCAATGGTTAGGCTTAACTGCCACGTATTGAGCAAGTCATTTGTAGTTTGTCCTAGAAAAGTAACAAGTGTGACACTGTGCAAACATTAATAATTCAATATCCTGTTCAACATGCGTTGACATGCCCTTGCACTGATACCTCTGTAACGTATACATGTAAAATAAATACTGTAAACACATGGAGGCACAGTATTAATCACCTAGAGAAAAGTATTTGCAGTGTTAATAGGCCAGGCTGGCCATATGTAAGATTTACAAACCATATATAATGTTGTAAACGATAACACGCACACGACAACTGTAGTGAAACATCAAATTACTACACAAAGTGCAGCTTTCAAGATCCTGCTTGCTCTGAATATCAATAGTCTGAGAATGCTAAGAGTTAGAAAACAGGGTTTATTATGTCTAAATCAATAAACAGGCAGCAGACCATGTGCAATTCAATCATATAAGTGTTGCAGCAGCTGAGTATGGGAGTAATTATTGTATTACGACGGCATTTTGTCCTCGATCTTTCTGCGCCGGTGAAAAAACCCATTACGGAATACAGACAACACGGACGCAACATTTAAGAGCTACGCTTTTTCTTTTTCTTCTGTTACAACGCCGGAGTAATGCAAGCCATGATAAGTGCACGCACTTAATTGTTTGGTTAAGTGGCGAGTAGGAGCTTCAAGTCTCGGACAATAAAAGTTCAGAGCAAGCCGTCCACCCAGCAACAACCTCAGCGACCCACATGAGTTACCTCCCAATTGAAGCTGCTGCTGCTGCTGCTGTAATTAACACATTCCTGCGGAGGGAGCTGGTAGGAACGTTGGGTTGCTCGGTCAATAGCCAGGGTCAACGGCGGCGTGGTGTATTCCGCAAATATGCCCGACTGTGAGGGGCGGGCACAAGCCGGCGTGAGTAGGTGAAACGTTGAGTTTTATAAGGGCACCACGGGGTGACCAGCTCCTCCCCACCCAGCCCCACCCCTCTCACCCCCCACCCAGCCCCACCCTCCCCACCCACCCCCTCCCCATCCTCCCCTCCCCACCCAGCCCCACCCAGCCCCTCCCCATCCTCCCCTCCCCACCCAGCCCCTTCCCACCCTCCCCTCCCCACCCAGCCCCATCCCTGCACTACGGACGGACACAATAATCCCCTGTGGGCTGGTGTAACCAGGAGGTTAGTACCAGTATGAAGCCAACTAAGCAGAAGGCATAGCGACACTCGGTAATAAACATTGTAAAGCAGACACATTTTCCCATGATTAGCTCAATAACTTAGAGACGTGGAAAGCACTTGTAAGAAAGGCTAACAATTAAAATAGCTTTGCTTTGGAGAGGCACACCTATGGATTTAAAAAAGGGGTCTCCTAAGGTAAAAGTGGGAGTTTAAAATACCCTCAAGCAAATTAAAATATCTAGATTTGAAGTTTTCGTAACTGCAAGGGTCCATACGCTTTGGTTTTTTCGGTAAAGTCACGTAGATGAAAATAAAATAAGTTAAAAGTTGAAAATCAAAAGTGCCCAGGCAGATGAAGGCTTCTAAACGGAAGCTACATTGTGTCTGGCCACATTCTCTCGTCGTCAAGTTAACCCGTGTTGTTTCAACGCATTGCATATGACGCGTGCAGTTGCCATTCATTTAGCAGCGAGCACAGAGTGCACATCACGATAACAAAAAAACATGAATGGCAGTGTACCATCATTATATAGGCAACAAAAATACCGTTTCATATTTACAGGTCTCTTAAACATAATTTCCCCCTTTAATCTGCTCATTAGCAATGACGGGGGCCGAACCAATCTCAGCCACAATTTGCTTTCTTTAGCCGGGTTCACGACTTCCGTTCGATGTCAACCTTCAATCTTTTTTTAAATCCTTTATATTAAGTTCACTTGCTTGCTTGCTTGCGCGCTTACGACCGTGCAAATCTTTCGGTCGTTTTTTAACCCACTTCCCGTGATCCAATCGAGCTGACATTTTGCACACAGACTCGTTGTGCGTGACAATTTATTTTCGTGAAAATTTTTCCTAAATTTTCCACTTTTTAGGAAAAAAAATTGTCATATTTAATTTAAAATACCAACGTGATAAAAATGAAACTCTTACTCAAGAACAACAGAAATGAATAATAAAATAAAACCGATGCCACGCATATAAAGGATTTATAGTGAAAAACCTTGTTTTTACGGGTTAATTTTTATCTATTGCGATCGATAATGCGTGATTTTTCAAAAGCGGGGAACCCGTTCAACAATTAATTTATTATTCCTTGCACTTCTCATAATTTATAGGCTGAGCATTTGACTTTCGATTGCCTGCCGTGCTTTCTTCAATAACGGTACAAGCCTATGAATTATGCAGGTGGTGCAATACACAAGTGGTTTAGAAAAAAAAACGACCATGCCTCAATAAACACCACCACCACCATCACCATTAACTGGGAGTTCAGCATAAAACTTAAGGGCCCTCCCTACCTAAAGGGGCCATTGGCCATTAACATGCTGTGGGTGGCAGGGCTATCTGTAAACACAAGCTTCTTGTTTCCCTGGAGACCAACACAAACACAAACATAATTTAGGTGACAAGTCCGTCCAACCGTTGACACTCACAATTCACAAGCATGCACACGGGTGCGTACAAAGACAAAGGATCTTTATCGGACTACTGTATTGGGACAAGTATTGTTAGTGAGTACCTATGAAAGGCCAGCATGGCACATGAGGGGGTGGAGTAGCCAACACCATGCCTGGCCGCCTTTGTCTCACCAGTGCTGATGTTTTTCACACTGGAACAGCTAATATTTTTTTAAGACCGAGTCAAATTAGGGGAGGCCCAGGACCGGTTTAGATATTCGCCATCGATGTTGGCTGTGAGTGGGAATCGAACTCAGGTCGCCGGGCTCGTATGACAGTGCACTAACCATGACACTACCGCTCCCCATACACGCACACACATATTCAACGCCTCTTATTAGTAGTAGGTTAGCCATAGATACATCAAACGCTAAATTTAGACCATTTCAATTTCAGCCAGCGCCTACTTTGGGGATGCTCAGGCCAGGTTAGAAAGCAAATGTCACACCGATTGTTTTTCTAGTAAGAATTAGGAGAAATAACTCGCCTTATTTGGAACAAAATGCATTTGTGCAAGTTTAATAGTGTACTGATTTTCGAACTATAATGGTTTCTTCTTCCAACATCCACTACTTGAGTCGTTTGCTATAATTTGTGTTGCTTTTAAGTCGCAACTTGATTATAACTAATTGGATGGCATCTGTCAAATAAATCCTATGGTCAACCTAACATGTAATCACAGGGTCCTGAAAAAAACAATTCCACAAAATACAGAATAAAGAATTAAGTTCTACAGTATTCTGTTCACAGGCGGGATACATTTTTTCCAAACAATGATTCACTTACAAAGAGAACAACACAAACCTGGTCACTGGTTGACATAGAAAAGCATTGAACCCAGTATAGCAGCTAGATCAGTAATAACTCTGTCCTGTTCTGATATCACGTCAAAACTCCCCTCACTATACTACAAATGAAAAATACAAAGATCCCCTGTATAGCCCACACAGGCTGTTTGGGCAAGTGCTGTCAGCGAGCTGCGATGAAGGCGCACGATAGAATGGTGTCCTCGCCAGCGCCACACCATTGCCAATATTTTTAAACACCGCATTTAAGGCTGAGTGGACTTAGGGAAATCCTACGTCAATCGAACTCGGTAATGCAGTGTGCTAACCAGCACTACACTACCGCTCCCCCCACTCTTTGTACCACGGCAACCACACACTCCATCTACACATGACTGGCAATGCCCTCACACCCCAGTGCCAGCAAGACCACGCACATCATTTCCGATTGACTCAACCTGAAGTAGGCACTCAGCGGGGGAATAAGAAAATAGCAACGCTCAA